ATGGAACTCCATCCAACAGATCCTCCTCTAGCTTTCTATCTCTGGGGGTTGTGCAAGACACAGCAGACAACAACCATAAATGAGTAAGTGCGTATTGCAGAGCGTCATTAGATGTATTCAAATATCTAAAGTGAATTTGGCGCCAATCTGCTCTGGTCTGCCCTTTGATGGCCTTGGTGATTGTGTGGCTTTGTTGTACCTCCTTTCAGGGTCTGTGTGTGGATTTCTTACTGGTGTCATTAGTAAAAATACCTAAGGACTGAAGAAAACAATTATTATCTCCCACCAGCTGCAGCAAACTATTGCCCATAAGCAGTAATGAAGAGACTTTGCAGTTAATATATGAATCATTCTGTGCCTTCTGCAAAGAAATGAAGAAACTTGATTCCCAGTTTTTTTTTTCCCTTCACCCATAAAACCAAGGATTTTTTGCTTGTTTTAGTTTTTCTGTTTGTGTGTTTGGTAGGTTTTAAAAGGGGGATAGAGTTTTAATTAGTAGAACGACACAGTTGTTTGCTTACAGCTGTTTAATTATTCAATTTTACTTATTTGTTATAATCCACCATTCTTGTTAAGCATAGAAACCTGGTCAGTGCTTTCTGTCAACTTGATTTCAACAGGCAGGTAAATTGGAGATTTTGTGTTAGTATCATTAATATTTATGGACACCCTGGGAGTACTGGGGCTTGAGAATCCGCTCACTTTCCCAAGTGGGTTGTAACAATCCAGCTTGAGAATTCTGGCTTTCCTGGGGTTGTAGTATAGCAATAAGCAAGATTTTGCTGACAGAACCAGCTGAATCAAAAACATTTGTGCTGTTGTCTTGGCACAGATAGGGTATCTCCCAGCAGAGCTTCCTTTTCTGCGAAGTTCAGAATATACGGTGAGAGGTATATAAATAAATCCGCGACACAACTGAGATTATTTCTATTCTGTGATATTAGCAAATGTTTTAAGATCCTTGATCTTACCTAGAATGGGATTGACGCCATGGGTGAAAATAAGTGGATCCAAAGAAATTTAACTGACTAACAATTACCTGGCACTGTTAAATATTAATTCATGTTGTTGCCAAAAGTAGGTGAAGGTTGTGGTCATAATCTGCCTTTGTCTGACCCATGTCTGTGATATTAACAGCTGTGTAAATACACCCAGCTATACTTTCAGTAATCCTATCCATGTGCCTTTCAAACAAGTATTGGCTTACCAATAACAAATGGTAACCATTTGAAACAGTACCATCCAAATGATGGCCTAAATTCATGAGCTCTTGGGATTCTTCAGTTAAATGGACAAACCAATAACAATACTTTGCATCAAAGTGGAAAAAGAATTTACTTCAAAAAACTTAGTGCTTCATTCTTCCAACATCGGTATTTTACTTGGATATCTTTTAAGTGAAAGGTTAAGGTGCCTTGGATCTAGACATCCTTCTTTAAAACACCAATCTGTGTGGTGGCAGACCTTCAATATCATACAATTTCACTCTGTCTCATTCTTCTTGGTAAGCTCCTGTTGAATGTGCACAGTGAATGTCCAAGAAGGATCAATAAATAGGGTAGAACCATGCCTAAGATGCAATATCCCATTACCTTAAAATTGGAAAGCACATTGAATTGGTCCAGGTACAGGTATTTGTGATCTTTGATTGATTCAGTTGCATCATGTACGATGTGTTCCACCACACTGGGTGAGGTTTGTCTCACAGGCTTTGACTACAACAAGATCTGGGCTTGCTGATAGTCTTGCCGCTGTTGATATTTACCAGATAGAAGATTTTGTGAAGCCAAGATAAGCTTGTATATTAGCACTGCAATGTGATTCTGCCAATGTACAGTAAGAGTTATTGTTATGTGTTGTGAAGGGTGGTCTCTGCTTGATTGGAGTGCACCCTGCTGAGGTACACATCCTTCAAGATGCAGAGTGGTAATATGTGATATAACAAGGTGTAGAGCTGGATGAACACAGCAGGCCAAGCAGCATCAGAGGAGCAGGGA